TAATAGAGACAGGGTTTCACCATGTTGGCCAGGATGGTCTCGATTTCTTGACCTCATGATCTGCCTGCCTCAGCCTCCCAAAGTGCTGGGATTACAGGTGTGAGCCACCGCGCCCAGCCAGGTTTTATTATTTTTGATAGCCATATTATTCCTAGATATGAGCACTATTTCAGTGAATAAAATTTGGGATAGCTTGTTAGCTCTTGTTGAAATTTTTACCAAAGGGCCAGGCATGGTGGTTCACGCCTGTAATCCCAGCACTTTGGGAGGCTGAGGTGGGGAATCACCTGAGGTAAGCACCTCGAGACCATCCTGGCCAACACGGTGAAACCCCGTCTTTACTAAAAATACAAAAAAATTAGCCGGGCGTGGTGGCACGCGCCTATGGTCCCACCTACTTGGGAGGCTGAGGTGGAAGAATCACTTGAACCCAGGAAGTGGAGGTTGCAGTGAGCTAAGATTTCGCCACTGCACTCTAGCCCGGTGACAGAACAAAACTCCTTCTCAAAAAAAAAAAAAAAAAAAAAAAAAGAAATTCTTACCAAAGGAATGGACCTTTTAAAATCAATGATTATTCACTTGAACCTGGGAGGCAGAGGTTGCAGTGAGCTGAGATCGTACCACTGCACTCCAACCTGGGCAACAGAGTGAGACTCCATCTCAAAAAAAAAAAAAAAAAAAAGAATGATTATTAAGTTTATGGAATTGGCTTTTTAAAAATTCAGTTTACAACCGAGTAGTGGCTCACGCCTGTAATTCCAGCACTTTGGGAGACTGGGGTGGGTGGATCACCTGAGGTCGAGAGTTTGAGACCAGCCTGGCCAACATGGTGAAATCCCGTTTCTACTAAAAATGCAAAAATTAACCGAGCATGGTTGCAGGTGTCTGTAATCCTAACTACTCTGGAGGCTGAGGCGGGAGAATTGCTTGAACCTGGGAGGTGGAGGTTGCAGTGAGCCAAGATCACGCCACTGCATTCCAGGCTGGATGACAGAGTACGACTCCATCTAAAAAAAAAATAAAATTCAGTTTACATTTTAAAAATGACTCATTTATGCCACCAATACAGTCATCCTTCAGTATCTGTGAGGGGTTGATTCCAGAACCCCCATGATATGATACTAAAATGTGAGGATGCTGAAGTCCCTCTTATAAAATAACTTTGTATTTGCATGTGGCCTAAATGCTCTTGTATACTTTTTTTTTTTTTTTGAGACAGAATCACTCCATCACAGAGGCTGGAGTGCAGTGATGCAACCTTGGCCCACTGCAAACTCTGCCTCATGGGTTCAAGCAATTCTTCCGCCTCAGCCTCCCGAGTAGCTGGAATTACAGGCACCTGCCACCATGCCCAGCTATTTTTTATATTTTTAGTAGAGGCAGGGTTTCACCATGTTGGCCAGGCTGATCTCAAACTCCTGACCTCAAGTGATTTGCCTGCCTTGGCCTCCCAAAGTGCTGGGATTACAGATATGAGCCACCACACCCAGCCCCTCTTATATACTTTAATCTCTAGGTTAGTTATAATACCTAATACAATGTAAATGCTCTATAGAGTTGTGATACTGCATTTTTAAAATCTGTATTTTTTGTTTTATTTTTTTAGACCGTGTATTGCTCTGTTACTCAGGCTGGAGTACACTGGTGTGATCATGGCTCACTCTAGCCTCAAGGTCCTCTGCTCAAGAGATTCTCCCACCTCAGTTTCTTGAGTAGCTGGAATTTATAGGCATGTGCCACCATGCCTGGCTAGTTTTAAGAAAAATTTTTTGTAGAGATGGTTTTTCTTGCTGTCTTGCTGTGGTCAGTCTTGAACTCCTGGGTTCAATTGATCTTCCTGCTTCAGCTTCCTAGCGTATTGGGATTACAGATGTGAACCACTATACCTGCCCTGTTATTTTAAGTTTTTTTCCCCCTGAGTATTTTCTGTTTGAGGTTGGTTGATTCTGGATTTAGAACCCTTGGATGTGGAGGATCAGCTGTGTTTGAAAATGGATACAATATACCTAAGTGTCTAAGCACTGAAAATTTTCACTTTCATGATAGCCACCTTATGATGCATGCAGTTGCTCATTTTTTTAAAGACTTTGTTAGCCCATCCCAGAGGTCAGGATTAGTCCCACAATTGACAGAGGAGTGCCCTGAGGCTTAGAGGAGATAAGGAATTTGTATCAGATTGCGAGCCAGTAAATTGGGGCTGTTACAACCACTAGGTTGTTTTAAACTCATCCTTCTGACTTCACAGAGATCTTTCTTAGTGTTGATGGCCTACCCAGTGGGTTAGTTTTATCATTTCCAGTGTGTTTGGTCAGCTGCAAATCTGGATAAGCCTATCTCCTCCACTTTGTCTATGATTACCACTGGAGACCTCCCACCAGGTGGACATAAGTGGTTCATTCTTTCGTGCTAATTGGGTGCCATAATTCAGCCCGTTGGGAATCCACCCACTCACACAAGGTTGTGCTCTAGAGTCTTGGGATTCTTTCTCTGCGTTCCCTTCATCCACCAGCCTGGTAACCTTCTCAGAAAAGGATATGAAGTTGGAAGTTGGTGTACATGACTTGTTCTTATTCTTGTTCTTAAGGAGCTTGCTTGCTTTCTTTTTTTAATGGAGTTTTACTCTTTTTGTGCAGGCTGGAGTGTAATAGCATGATCTTGGCTCACTACAACCTGCGCTTCCAAGTTCAAGCGATTCTCCTACCTCAGCCTCCCAGGTAGCTGGGATTACAGACCTGCACCACCACACCCAGCTAATTTTTGTATTTTTAGTAGAGATGGGTTTTACCATGTTGGTCAGCTGGTCTCGAACTCCAGACCTCAGGTGATCCACCCACCTCGGTCTCCCAAAGTGCTGGGATTACAGGCACGAGTCACATGATTTGCTTCACAATTTAAAATCCGTGCTTTTGGGGAAAAATAACAATTCTGACTGAATCCAGGAAATAGCAGTTTGAAAAGAGATCTTGTTTGAATTTTTGACAACTTAAGACTGAGCCTGGGCCGGGCGCGGTGGCTCAAGCCTGTAATCCCAGCACTTTGGGAGGCCGAGGCGGGTGGATCACAAGGTCAAGAGATCGAGACCATCCTGGTCAACATGGTGAAACCCTGTCTCTACTAAAAATACAAAAAATTAGCTGGGCATGGTGGCGCGTGCCTGTAATCCCAGCTGCTCAGGAGGCTGAGGCAGGAGAATTGCCTGAACCCAGAAGGCGGAGGTTGCGGTGAGCCGAGATCGTGCCATTGCACTCCAGCCTGGGTAACAAGAGCGAAACTCCGTCTCAAAAAAAAAAAAAAAAAAAAAAGACTGAGCCTGGATTAATTTAGAGTTTTCAAAAACTACCACTGTACCTAGAGCTTGGGGATATTTGACATTCAGCTTCAGAAGTAGGATCCCACATTTAATAATGCTTAACTTCAGATTTTCCTTTTTTTTTGAGATGGAGTTTCACTCCATCTATTGCAGGCTGCAGTGCAATGGCACGATCTTAGCTCACTGCAGCCTATGCTTCCTTGGGTTCAAGCGATTCTCTTGCTCAGCCTCCTGAGTAGCTGGGATTACAGGTGTGTGCCACCATGCCCGGCTAATTTTGTATTTTTAGTAGAGATGGGGTTTCTCCATGTTGGTCAGGCTGGTCACGAACTCCCGCCCTCAGGTGATCCACTTGCCTCAGCCTCCCAAAGTACTGGGATTACAGGCATGATTTTTTTTTTCTTAGATGGGGGTCTCGCTCCATTGCCCAGGTTGGAGTGCAGTGGTGTCATCTCTGCTCACTGTAACCTTCACCTCTCAGCTTCAAGCATTCTCGTGCCTTAACTTCCCAAGTAGCTGGGATTACAGGCATGCGCCACCATACCCCAGCTAATTTTTGTTATTTTTAGTAGAGACTGGATTTTGCCATGATGACCAGGCTGGTCTCAAACTCCTGGCCTCAAGTGATCCACCTGCGTCTGCCTCCCAGAGTGCTGGGATTATATTCAGTTTTCCTTAATGTCCTTTTTCTGAACATCAATTAGGAAGACAATCTGGACTTTTACCTTTTCATAGTTCCATAAGGTTTTGGCCAAAATTGCTCATTTGTATGTGTGTTTCACCATTATTAGACTGTAGAGAAATTGGCCTGGTGTGTTGGCTCATGCCTGTAATCCCAGTACTTTGGGAGGCCAAGGTGGGCAGATAGCTTGAGCTCAGGGGGTTGAGACCAGCCTGGGCAATATGGTGAAACCTTATCTCTACTAAAAATACAACAATTAGCCAGGCATGGTGGCACGTGCCTGTAGTCTGGCCACTTGGAAGGCTGACGTGGGAGGTTTGCTTGACCCTGGAAGGTGGAGGTTACAGTGAGCTGAGATGATGGCACTGCATTTTATCCTGGGCGACAGAGTAAGACCTTGTCTCAAAAAAAAAGAAAAAGAAAAATGGACTTGATTGCTGGTTACAGGGCTGTATACATTATGATTTGTGCACTTTATTGTGTATGTTAATAAAGTGGTTTTTAAAAAAATGTATAGACGTCATCTTCCCTCATGTCTTTGGAAAATCATGCTAATTGTGTTGGTGTTATTAACATTCTGTATATTTCCATCTTTGAGAATTTATTTAACATATTGTTGGGCAGGGTTTAATTCTGAAAGATTTGAAATACACTGTCCTAAAGGCTATAGAAGAGAGTTGTCAGGGCCGGTGTAGCAGCTCATGCCAGTAATCCCAGCACTTTGGGAGGCTGAGGCTGTCAGATCACCTGAGCTTAGGAGTTGGACACCAGTTTGGGCAACACAGTGAAACCTTGCCTCTACTAAAATCACAAAACATTAGCTGGGCGTGGCAGTTTGCATCTGTAGTCCCAGCTACTTGGCAGGCTGAGGCAGGAGAATCGCCTGAACCTGGGAGGTGGAGGTTGCAGTGAGCCACGATCATGCCACTGCACTCCATCCTGGGTGACAGTGCAAGACTCCAGGTCAAAAAAAGCAACAAAAAAAAGAGTTGCCATTAATTTTTTAAAAAGTTTTAAGAGTTTGAATTGATGTGCTGTTCTTAATATAGTAATGTATAATTGTATAGACCTTATTAGAAAAGGAAAAAAATACCAGATACTTTAATATACTCAGTATAAGTGTTGGTCAAGTGTCATTCAGGGAGCATACCTTTTAAAGTTACTCTGTTACTTTTCTGTTACCTTCAACCTGAAAGCACAAGAGGTGTTGCAGGCAGAGATAACCATGGTCCAATCTGGTTCCTGTAAACATTCAACAAATATTTGCAGGTCTGCTATGTGCCAGGCATTGTTTTAATTAGTGAACAAAACAGGCAAAAATTCCTGCTCACATGGCATTTACCTTCTAGTAGATCTCAAAGTTCTCTATTCTCCTAATCACTGGTATCACCTGGAAAGAATTTATTGCTGGTTCAACACTGCTAAGGACTGGCATGAAGTTCTGTAGCTGATGTGGGAAGTACCTCGCTAGTGTCTCCAGCACTGGGTTTTCTAGACTAGTCTTCAAGCTTTATAGGTTTGGGGATTGTGTGTTTACCACATCTTGCTGAGACTTGTATTTTTCCTGGAGCGCTCTCAGTGCCCATGGATCCAACTACAGACCTAGGCAGATGACCTCCAGCGTCACTTCCTCATGGATGCTAACACCAGATGTGAACTGCCCACAGTAGCTGGTGTTTTCCAAGTGGAACTCATTGTTTCAAACTAGCACAGTGGAAAGCACATGAGATCATCTGGGTTCAGGTTACATCTGAGTGACTCACTGGCATCCATATAACCTTATGCATATTTCTGACCCTCTCTGCATCTGTAAAGTGACTAATCAACCATGGAGGGTTGTTTTGAGGACGAAAGGATTTCATGTAAAACACCCAGCGCATCAGTAGTGTCTGATGAATGTCAGTTTCTTTCCCATCTTCTGTCTGCTAAGCTAGTCCTTCATTGTCTCCTCACAGGCAGGTTTGCTGCTGCTGACTCCAGGTCCTCCTTTTTACTGTTGACTTTGTCCTTCAAATCTGGTTCAAATCAAACTTACATCTCCCTTGCTGAGAATCATGAACTGGCTCCCTGTTTCCTACCTGAATGAAGTAAGACACTCCCACTAGACTTTCAAAGCCCTCCCTTTTCTTACTCATTGTCCGTCCACTGTATTCTTACTATAACCTTATTTTAAAAGATGACACCATTTCAACATGTTCCCACCTGGTCTCCTCACTGTTCCGTAAGCTAGCCATCTGTATATCAGTAACACTCCAGCCTGGAAGAGCCAGGACCCCAGCGCTGGCTCTCATAGTTCACTCCCACAGGCTCTCCTGGTCTAGTGTAGGCACTTAATAAATAAATGCTTGTTGAATGAAATTGCTTCTCAGATGTTTAGGAACTTGTGCTGAAAAATTTTAGGACAAAATTTTAGAAAAGGACCAATTAATAATGCGTATTGTTTTTTCTCCCCTTCTATAAAAATTATGCTCAGTTTTGAAGACTTGGAAAAGATAAGGGAAAAATATTCACTATTCTACCATTCATAGATGCATTTTATTACCATTTTTAATGATAAAGGCATTTAACCCATTAGATTATTTACTAGTTTGCGTTGAGGAGGTAGTATGTGCTAGTGCTGTATGTGCACTTTATATGCATTTTCATTTTATATGAACTTCCAAAGTGATATGAAATTATATATATTTTAAATTTTTGTACAAAAATATACAAGAATTAGCCAGGTGTGGTGATGTGCATCTGTAGTCCTAGGTACTTGGGAGGCTGAGGTAGGAGGAGTGCTTGAGCCTGTGAGATCAAGGCTGCAGTGAGCTGTGATTGGACCACTGCACTCCAGCCTGGGCGACAGGTGAGACCCAGTCTCAAGGGGGAAAAAAAAAGAAACTGAGCTTAGTAGTAATGCCATATCCCTACTTTTGTTGCTTAGATTGGTTTATCTTGAGAGCTAAAAGGGCTTTCCTCAGCCTGAAGATCAGCTGACCATTGACATCAGCCATGTCATCGAGGCCTCTTGAAAGTCCACCTCCTTACAGACCTGATGAATTGTAAGTAAATAATTATTTAGTTATTCTCTTTTAAAAAGCCTATCGCATGTAAAAAATATGGTTGAAATTTTCATTTTTAAGTGTTTGCTTTTAAAAATGATACGGGTATTTGTAAATTTAAATTGTATCGAAAGGTCTGCACTGAAAAGTTAATTTTTCTCTTACTCTTAGCTTTCAGAATGATAGTTTTTCTCTGCTGGGAGGACTGCTGTCACCTATTGCCAATGTTTGTTTCAAGAGATTACCAAGATTTATATTTGTATACAAATGATAATGAAGCTTCCATTTAAATGCCTTGTTCAGATGGCTGTTGGCAACATATTGTCAGTTTTTAAAAGTAACAGCTTTAGGCCCAGCTTGGTGGCTCATGCCTATAATCCTGGCACTTTGGGAGACTGAGGTAGGCGGATCACAAGGTCAAGAGATTGAGACCACCCTGGCCAACATGGTGAAACCCCGTCTCTACTAGAAATACAAAAATTAGCTGGGCATGGTGGTGCACGCCTGTAAGCCCAGCTGCTCGGGAGACTGAGGCAACAGAATCGCTTGAATCCAGGAGGCGGAGGTTGCAGTGAGCCTAGATCGTGTCTCTGCACTACAGCCTGGAGACAGAGCGAGATCCAGCTCAAAAACAAAAAAAAACCAAACAAAAAACCACAGCTTTACTGAGATATAATTAACATACTTTACAACTTACCCATTTAGAATGGATAGTTGAATGGTGTTTAGTATATTCAGAGTTGTACAACCATCACCACAATTAATTTTAGAACATTTCATTATGCTCCAAGGAACCCTACCCATTGGCAGTCACCTCCCAGTTCCATCAGCCCTCAGCAACCATCAGTCTACTTTCTGCCTCTAGAGATTTGTCTATTCTGCATATTTTGTATAAATGGAGGAATCATGTAATATGTGGCCTTTTGTGTCTGGCTTCTTTCACTTAGCATAATATTTTGGGGTCCTTGGTCATGTGAAGATTTATCGGTGAATTTTTGAATTCCAAATTTGCTATCAAACATTGATAGGGATTTCCTCCTCTAAGTAGTTTACAGCTTTAATCCTGATAAGTGTAGTGGAGTGTAATATAGGTGAAAACAAACTCAGTTTCTCCTGCTATTCTGTCGCAACATAATCAATGTAGAATACATCTGTGACCTCTGATCACCAGAATGTGTGGGGATTTTTCTCCACGATCAACCAAGTAATCAGTTCTACAGTGGACACTAGCTGTGTGTCCTCTAATTCAGCTGAATTCTGATGCTGCCCAGAGATAGCATCAGATCACAGGTTCAGGTCTCATTCCCTGAAGACTGCCCCCACTTCACATAGCAGCCGCAAGCTCAGGTTGTGGCCTGGGTTTCTGACCTACCTACAGTAAATCGGGATTCCCACAATTCTCTCCTTGGGTTCAATTAATTTGCTAGAGTGGCTCACAGAACTCAGGGAAACACTGCTTATCTGGTTTATTATAAAGGGTATTACAAAAGCCAGGTGTGGTGGTGTACGCTTCTAATCCCAGCTACACAGGAGACTGAGACAGGAAGATTGCTTGAGCCCAGGAGTTCAAGGCCAGCCTGGGTAACATAGGGAGACCTTGTCTTTTAAGAATGAATGAATGAATGAATGAACTAAGGGATGATATTACAGTGGATGCCAACAAACACCACATGAAGAGATGGACAGGGTGAGGTATATGGGAAGGGGTCTTTCCGGGCTGTGCCACCCTCCAGGAACCTACACATGTTCAGCTGTCCAGAAGCTCTGTGAACTCAGTCCTTTTGGGTTTTTATGGAAGCTTTATTACATAGGCATGATTGACTCTAAATCATTGGTGGTGGTGATCAGTTTAAGCTTCAGCCTCCCTTTCCTGTCTAGAGGGGGTTGAGACTGAAAGTTCCAACCATCTAATCCTAGCTCCTATCCTGAAGCTTCCTGGGGCTGCCAGAACGTATCGTCTCATTAGCATATAAGGGACACTAATCACTTCGGAGGCTGCAATAATCTTATGTTTTAACAAGCCCTCCAGGGCACTGATAAGCTTTAGTTTCATTTACCCAGTAGTTTAAAGTATTCCAAATAATTTATGTTCTTTCTGCTTACTACCAAAAAATGCTAACTTGAAATTATTTTCATATTCATTTCAGCAAACCGAATCATTATGCACCAAGCAATGACATATATGGTGGAGAGATGCATGTTCGACCAATGCTGTCTCAGCCGGCATACTCGTTTTACCCAGAAGATGAAATTCTTCACTTTTACAAATGGACCTCTCCTCCAGGAGTGATTCGGATTCTGTCTATGCTCATTATTGTGATGTGCATTGCCATCTTTGCCTGTGTGGCCTCCACGCTTGCCTGGGACAGAGGCTATGGAACTTCCCTTTTAGGAGGTGGTATAGGCTACCCTTATGGAGGAAGTGGCTTTGGTAGCTACGGAAGTGGCTATGGCTATGGCTATGGTTATGGCTATGGCTACGGAGGCTATACAGACCCAAGAGCAGCAAAGGGCTTCCTGTTGGCCATGGCCGCCTTCTGTTTCATTGCCGCGTTGGTGATCTTTGTTACCAGTGTTATAAGATCTGAAATGTCCAGAACAAGAAGATATTACTTAAGTGTGATAATAGTGAGTGCTATCCTGGGCATCATGGTGTTTATTGCCACAATTGTCTACATAATGGGAGTCAATCCAACTGCTCAGTCTTCTGGATCTCTCTATGGTTCACAAATATATGCCCTCTGCAACCAATTTTATACACCTGCAGTTACTGGACTCTACGTGGATCAGTATTTGTATCACTACTGTGTTGTGGATCCCCAGGAGGTATGAGTGGTGTTTTGGGTTTTTTGCCCCTCTCCTTAGCAGAGGCTTTCAACTTGGAATATGTAATAGAATCACTCTGGAAACTTTTAAAAAATATTGATGACAAGGCTCCACTTCTCATCTCAAGGAGGGGCTCAGTGTCATTAAGATGTAATTAACATACAAGGTAATTTGGTTAAAGAACAGTTCAGTGGTTTTAAATATGTTCACAAAATTGTGCAACCGTCACCACAATCAATTTTAGAACATTTTTGCGATCCTAAAAAGAAACTTGTGCCCATTAGCATCACTCCCCATTTCCCTAACTGTTCTTAGCCCAGGCAACCACTAATCCTGTCTGTAGATGTGCCTGTTCTCTAGGTATTTCATAAAAATGGAATCACACAATGTGGTCTTTGCGATGGGCTTCTTTTACTTAGAATGCATTTAAGGTTTATCCATGTTACAGCATGTACCATTCCTTTATTCCTTTTTATTGCTAATATTCCAGTGTGTGGCTAAACCACATTTTATCAGTTGATAGACATTTGGGCTGTGTCTACATTGGCTAAATCATGCTACAGACATTCTTGTATATGTTTTTGGGTGAACCTATGTTTGTTTTTTTTTTTTGGAGATGGAGTTTTGCTCTTGTTACCCAGGCTGGAGTGCAATGGCGCGATCTCGGCTCACCGCAGCCTCCGCCTCCTGGGTTCAGGCAATTCTCCTGCCTCAGCCTCCTGAGTAGCTGGGATTACAGGCACGCGCCACCATGCCCAGCTAATTTTTTGTATTTTTAGTAGAGACGGGGTTTCACCGTGTTGACCAGGATGGTCTCGATCTCTTGACCTCGTGATCCACCCGCCTCGGCCTCCCAAAGTGCTGGGATTACAGGCGTGAGCCACCGCGCCCGGCCGAACCTATGTTTTAATGATTTCTTGAGTTGGGTTATACCTAGGGATGGAATTGCTGGGTTATATGGTGACTCTAATCTTTTGAGGAGCTACCAGAGTTTTTCCCAAGAGTTTGCATCATTTTACATTCACACCAGAAATATATGAAAGTTTGTTTCTCCACGTCCTCACCAACCCTTGTTATTGTCTGTTTGATTCTAGCCATGGTAACGGGTGTGAAGTTAAGTGGTACTTCATTGTGATTTTGATTCTTATTTTCTTTATAGCTAGTGATATTGAGCATCTTTTCATGTACTTATTGGCTATTTCTCTATTATCTTTGGCGAAATGGCTCTTTTGACTCTTTGCCTATTTTTTAATTGGGCTATTTTTGTTGTTTTTGTTTTATTTTTGAGACAGAGTCTCACTCTGTCACCCAGGCTGGGTTGCAGTGGTGCAGTCATGGCTCATTGCAGCCTTGACCTCCTGGCTCAAGTGACCCTCCTACCTCAGCCTCCCAAGTAGCTGGGACCATAGAGGCATGCCACCACACCCGGGTATTTTATTTTATTTTATTTATTTATTTTTGAGATGGAGTTTCGCCCTTGTTACCCAGGCTGGAGTGCAATGGCGCGATCTCGGCTCACCGCAACCTCCGCCTCCTGGGTTCAGGCAATTCTCCTGCCTTAACCTCCTGAGTAGCTGGGATTACAGGCACGCGCCACCATGCCCAGCTATTGTTTTGTATTTTTAGTAGAGACGGGGTTTCACCATGTTGACCAGGATGGTCTCGATCTCTTGACCTCGTGATCCACCCGCCTCAGCCTCCCAAAGTGCTGGGATTACAGGCTTGAGCAACTGCGCCCGGCCAGAGTATTTTATTTTTTATTTTTTTGTAGAGACAGGGTCTCGCTTTGTTGCCTGGGCTGGGCTGAGAACTCCTGGGTTCAAGTGATCCTCCCTTGACCTTCCAAACAGCTGGGATTATAGGCACCTTTTCACTTTCTTGTTCATGTCCTTTGCATAAAAGTTCTTAGTTTTGGGCCAGCCACAGTATCTCGGTAATCCTAGCATGTTGGGAGGGCAAGGTGGGAAGGTGGGAGGATCACCTGAGGTTAGAAGTTTGAGACCAGCCTGGGCAACATTGTGAAACCCCATCTCTACTAAAAATACAAAAATTAGCTGTACATGGTGGCACGTACCTATAATCCCAGCTACTCAAGAGGCTTAAGGCAGAATAATTGCTTGAACTTAGGAGGTGGAGGTTGCAGTGAGCCAAGATCATGCCACCGCACTTCAGCCTAGGCAACAAGAGCGAAACTCCATCTCAAAAAAAAAAAAAAAAAAAGAAAAGAAAAAGTTTAGTTTTGATGATGTCCAGTATATTTAATTTTTCTTCTGTTGCTTGTATTTTTGGTATCATGTCTAATGCTTTGCCTAACGCAGGGTCACAAGGATTTACTCCTATGTTTTCTGTTTTTAAATTTTTCTTTCTTTTTTTTTTTTTTGAGACAGAGTTTCACTCTTGTTACCCAGGCTGGAGTGCAATGGTGCGATCTCGGCTCACCGCAACCTCCGCCTCCTGGGTTCAGGCAATTCTCCTGCCTCAGCCTCCTGAGCAGCTGGGATTACAGGCACGCGCCACCATGCCCAGCTAATGTTTTGTATTTTTAGTAGAGACGGGGTTTCACCATGTTGACCAGGATGGTCTTGATCTCTTGACCTCGTGACCCACCTGCCTCGGCCTCCCAAAGTGCTGGGATTACAGGCTTGAGCCACCGCGCCCGGCCTTGTTTTTAAATTTTTCTATAGTTTCATAATTTTGGCTCTTACAGTTAGGTCTGTGATCCATTTTGTGTTAATTTCAGGCATGGTGGAAGCAAGGGGTCTGAAAGCTTTCGCATGTTTATATGCAGTTGTTTTAGTGTTACTTGTTGAAAGGACTATTCCTCCATTAAGTTTTCTTCATGCCTTTGTCAAATGTGAATTGATCACAAATGTGGACATTTATTTCTGGACTCTCAATTCAGTTCCATTAATCATATATCCTTATTCCAGTACCATACTGTCTTTATTACTGTAGCTTTATAGTAAGCTTTAAAATAGCAGAGTTGGAGTTCTCCAATTTTGCTCTTCAAAACTGTTTTGGCTAGATTCTGGATTCCTAGCATTTCCATATGGATTTTAAGATCAGCATGTCAGTTTTGGAAAAAAATGCCAGCTAGGGTTTTGAAGGGTTATATTGAATCTGTAGATCAGTTTGGAATGTATTGTCATCTTTACAATTACAAATCTTCTCATTCATGAACATATCTTTCAATTTATGTAGGTCTTGTTAAACTTCTTTTAATAGTGTTTTATAGTTTTCAGAGTGTATGTATGTTTAAAAGCTATGCAAGTGATTTCAAATGTGCAGGTTGGGGTTGAGAAACCTACCTTAGTAACCATGAGTCATCCTGATTATATTAACATCTGAAACATTTCTGAGTTGCTACTCCTTTTTCCCTTGTTTTTCCTTTTTTCTTCTTACACTGATTCAGGAATTCCCATTCCTGAATGAGTCACTCCTTTGGAGTTAGACCTCTAGTATCTGTCTACCATTATTCTGAAGACTGAAGGTTTTACCTGCAGATGTAGTTTTCACAATGCTTGTTATTGCCATTTAGACATGTCCATGGTAGATGGGGACTGAGGGTTGGTACTCGTGTAGTACGACACCTTCATCCCTCTTAGTTCTCTTACTACTTGAAATCTGTAGTCTTTGAAAAATGATGTCACTGTCAGACAGCTAGAAGGAGAGCCTCTTGTTCCCAGTAGCAGACATCCAGGACAGAGGCCTGGTACTTGCCTCAATTTCATGTGCCTCCCAGGCCAGTATATCATTTAATATTCTGTCACTGCTGGGAGAACTGTCAAGAGTAAGAAGTTTGTCACAGGGCCCTTTCTAGTAAGTATGCAAGACTCCTAAAACAGAGAAACCTGCCAGACCAAATGATTCTGTCAATTTGCTATTTATAGATGGATTATATCCATAGCTTCATTTTTGGTAAGAAAGGTATCTGTGGACTGAAATTTACATTCAGTATAAAAAGGCTTACAAAGCATGTGTTTTGAACAAGATTACAAGCATGATTGGCTCTTTGAAAGATGTTGATACTTTTGAGAATAGCATTTTTCAGGCCCTTTAGAAATATACCAATGATTGAGTTACTTTACTGGCTGTTCTCATCTGTTTATAAAACTGTGGCCCATAGGTACACAAGCTTTGGAACCAGTTTTCTACAGCTCTAAAGTGGGGGTGATGAATGATAGTTTCTAACATTAGACATTTTCTGAGGATTGAATCAAGGGGTGTGTGTGTGTGTGTGTGTGTACATATTTGCTGGCCTTAGCCCAGTTACTGTGGTTTAGGTTTTATGATATGTCTAAAATGTAATTATTTCCTTCAGTTTTTTATCAGTTAAACCACATGGATTTAGTGGGGCCTTAGGTAGTTTTAATAATATGTAGAGGGTGGATTGTGATGAAGCAATTAAAATCTGATTATGCCAATATTTTTCACCCCTTTTTAGGCCATTGCCATTGTACTGGGATTCATGATTATTGTGGCTTTTGCTTTAATAATTTTCTTTGCTGTGAAAACTCGAAGAAAGATGAACAGGTATGACAAGTCCAATATTTTGTGGGACAAGGAACCCGTTTATGATGAGCAGCCCCCCAATGTCGAGGAGTGGGTAAGTGTTAAAATGGAAGTTTACATCTTTTATTAAAGCCCCAAATTTGTGTCTGAATTTTTAGTGCTTTGTTAAACTTTATTCTTAGAATTATTGTTTGTATATGTTGCAAAAGTTGTTGCTTTGGTTTTTACTCAGAATTTTAAGAGGTAGGATAAATAGAAATTGCTTTATTAAAAGGTGAAAATCAGATTTCCATTTTCAAGGAGTGGATCTAGGTTTTGAAAAGAAATGGCTTCAAAAAACATCATGCAGAAAGAACTTGACCTTTGCAAAACAAAAACTGCTCCTTCCCTCTACTGCCTTTTATTTTTCTCTTTATCATTTTGGAGATAAACAGAAACCATTGCCCAGGGTGTTCTCTTGGGTCAAATTAGTAAGGGTGTTTTTGGAATAGCGGGTGGCAGGCCCTTTAAATTTTTGACATAGATAACAGCATGAGAAACCACAGTGACTAATTCTGAGTTAACATTATGAAGTACTTCAGTGAGGCAAAGACATATTAGAAAAATTTCCTTTTAAAAATATATACTATTTATCTTACCAGGCTTCCTATATGATGTGATTTGCTGAAAGCCCAGAAAGTTGCTCTCTTTTTTTTTTTTTTTTTTTTTTTTTTTTGAGACGGAGTTTCACTCACGTTACCCAGGCTGGAGTGCAATGGTGCGATCTCGGCTCACTGCAACCTCTGCCTCCTGGGTTCAGGCAATTCTCCTGCCTCAGCCTCCTGAGTAGCTGGGATTACAGGCACACGCCACCATGCCCAGCTAATTTTTTGTAGTTTTAGTAGAGACGGGGTTTCACCATGTTGACCAGGATGGTCTCGATCTCTTGACCTCGTGATCCACCCGCCTTGGCCTCCCAAAGTGCTGGGATTACAGGCTTGAGCCACCGCGCCCGGCAAGTTGCTCTCTTTAAAAATGCCTCCCAGGAGAGCATCACACATGAGGTCTGTTGGGGGGACTAGGGAAGGGACAGTGTGGGACAGGGAGGTTGTGGAGGGATAACATGGGGAGAAATGCCAGATATAGTGACGGGGGATGGAGGTAGCAAACCACATTGCCTTGTATGTACCTATGCAACAATCCTGCATGATCTGCACATGTACCACAGAACTTAAAGTACAATTAAAAATAAATAAATAAATAAATAAATAAATAAATATATATATATATAAAATAAAAGAAAAATACCTCCCAAATGAATGTTAGTAAAAACGGTCTTTAGAGATGTTTAGAGGCCAGATGTGGTAGCTCACACTTGGAATACCAGCACTTAGGGAGGCCAAGGTGTGAGGATTGCTTGAGTCCAGGAGTTTGAGAATAACCTGGGCAACATTATGAGACCTGTCTCTACAAAAAATAAAAAAAACAATTAGCTGGGCATGATGCTGTATGCCTTTAGTCCCAGCTACTCAGGAGGCTGAGGTGGGAGAATCACTGGAGCATGGGAGGTTGATGCTGCAGTGAGCCATGATTCTGTCACTGCACTCTAGCCTGGGTGATAGAGTGAGACCCTGTCTTGGAAAAAAAGAGATTTGGAGTGAAACTTTCTAAGAAATCCTGTTAGGGTCCTGTTAGAAGCTACCTCAGAAACTGACATCACAGGGTTCTTTGAGCAGATTGATTTACTATCATGAAGGTGTTGCCACTGGTACCCAGGGAGGTTTATTTTGGCCAGTGGGAGTGGGAGTGGGAGTGGGGTGGGGAGTGGGCTGGCTAAAGATGGGTGCTGGATTGCTGCTGGTCAGGTCTGGTCAGGTAAAGACATTTTTTTTTTTTTTTTTTTTTAAACAGACTGAGCCTGGCTCTGTTGGCCAGGCTGGAGTACAGTGGTGCAATATCGGCTCACTATAACCTCCGCCTCCCGGATTCAAGCAATTCTCCTGCCTTGGCCTCCCAAGTAGCTAGGACTACAGGCGCACACCACCACACCTGACCAATTTTTTTGTATTTTTAGTAGAGTTGGGGTTTCACCATGGTGGCCAGGCTGGTCTCGAACTCTTGACCTCAATGTGATCTGCCTGCCTTGGCCTCCCAAAGTGCTGGGATTACGGGCAAGACATTAATATCTTGAAGGCTCTTTGAGGTCTAGCATTCCATAAGTCTGATTTTTAAGGAAATTTAGGAACACAGAGGAAATTTTTTTCTGGTTAGTTAAGCAGCAAAAATGAAGCAGTCTTGGGAAAGCCAGGAAGGCTGTAGTATGTATGTATTTGCCACTGAGATAATAGTTCTTATGTCTTTGACTCAAAGCCGTGGTTTTTTTTTTTTCCTCACTTTAAAGTGTGAAGGTGTTAGGAAGTGTTTTCTTTCGACCTTTACCTCCAGGCAAGGCCACCTGTAGATGGAATAGGACAGGTCTGTATTATGAACTATGAAGTAAACGTTTCGCTGAGAGTTTCTGGGTGTGTTAGTTTTCATTGGCAGTTAGATTTGTTTACTTAAGGTTTCAGGTGGCTTAAAAACAACAAACCTGACTCAAGGGAGACCAGTGCCAGTGATATTAGAGTCCCAGTGAACCTTGGCCTCTCATCTGATTTTATTGTCATGAAGGTTTAATCAGTTCCAGTTGCTTTTGATAATTTGGCAAATTGATAGCTATTGTAACTTACAGAGGTGATGATGATTAAGCTAAAAGAATTACTTAGCTTTTTAAAAGGTATTAATAAAATTCCCCCTGAACCTCTGGAAATTTGATAGCCTGTGGGTTGTTGCACATGGACTTCCTTGTTTCTCTCTAGTAACAAGTGTTTTCATTGAATGAGATGTAAAGGAATTATCTGCTGAATAGCAGATGTATGATTTTGCCCAAACTAATGTTTTATGTGATACTTAACCACATGCAAAACCTTGTTTCTTTTCCTCTCCCCATCAGTTTTCCAAACTGAAATGCCTCAAAAGCCTATTTAAACTAAATTATTTGGAAGTGGCTTTAGCCGCAGGTATTTTGCCTTTCTTTCTATTCTCCCCTCACCTGCCCAAGTGCATGTCTTGGAACTCAATACCACGTTCTCATTCTTTCCTCAATTGATGGCAATAGCCAGATGCAGCCTGTTACTCTCCTTTCTCTGTTCTTCTGAGCCTGCCTTTCTGCTTGAATTGGTTTCTCCCTGATAATGTGGCTATCGCTGTGGAATTGTCATCCTGCACCTAAATTGTTCTACATTGGGGTTGATAAGGGAATTTTCTTTCTTTTGGCCATGAGAAATTAATATCAAAACAATCTCTACTTAAAATAATGGAAGAGAATCTAGAATTAACTACTTGCGCTGAAGGAGAATTAAAATTTGGGTTTTATTGATTACAAAGAGCCAAGACAGGATACTCCCCATTTAGCTAATAATGGTTGACTGGGGGGGAGCGGGAGGAGAAAAAATTAAAGTGACTGGGTATAATGACTCAAGTCTGTAATCCCAGTACTTGTGAGGCCAAGGAGGATCGCTTGAAACCAGAAGTTTGAGACAGCCCAGGGCAACATGTCAAGACCCCATCTCTACAAAAAATTTTATAAAAATTAGCTGGATGTGGGGACAGGTGCCTATAGTCTCAGGTACTTGAGAAGCTGAGGTGGGAGGATCGCTGGAGAATGGGAGGTCAAGGCTGCAGTGAGCCATGATCTCACCAGTGCACACCAGCCTGGGTGACAAGAGCGAGACCCTGTCTCAAAAAAGCAAAACAACAAACTTAATTATAGTAACACCTAGCTACTCAATATTAGTTTATTCCCTCCCTATAGATTGGGGTAGGCCTGGAATTTTATTATATTAATGAATCATACTGCCTTTCTTCTTGGATTTTTAGCATCTTCAGGATTGTAACACACCTCCTGCTCCCCCACCTCTCAGAGCAGAGGATAGTCAAAAGCTATGCCTTCAAAACAGGTTTTAGCCCTTTTGTATAATCTGTGAGAAAGCTTGGAGTTTTATAATTCTCTGTCCCTGTTGGCTCAACACAGAGGTTTCTCTGCCCTTCTTGGGATTTTTAGTGTTGTTTTTCCCCTTTCTTTTTCTGGATATCTTGTTCTTTGTAAAATACACAGTCCATGTTTGCGCACTGCTTGGTTTTTAACCTGGTCTTTTATAGTCACTCAGATGGATACCAGTTTGTATTTTAAATGTTTTAAGATTTGTTTAATTAAAATTTGCAGGTCTTTGTTTTGTTATGCCCTCAAATTTCAGATCTTTTTTTTTTTTTAATTTAGTTATCTTTTTTTTCTTTAGATTTTTTCTTTTGTTTTTTTTTTTTTTTTTTTAAAGACGGGGTTTCACCATGTTGGTCAGGCTGGCCTTGAACTCCCAACCTCAGGTGATCTGCCCGCCTTGGCCTCCAAACTGCTTGGATTACAGGCGTGAGCCACCATGCCTGGCCAAATTTCAGATCTAATTGTTTTTTAATTAAATATTTAAGTATGCATGATTTGGAAAATGAAGTGAAATGCAGTCATTCCTTGGTATACTCAGGGTGTTGGCTCCAGGACCCCCATGTACACCTGAATCCATGCATATTCAAGTCCTGTAGTCGGTGGAACCCATGTGTATGAAAAATTGGCCCTCTGGATACCTGGGTTTTGCATCCTGCCAGTGCAGTTTTCGATCTGTGCTTAGTTGGAAAAAAAGCCATATATACGTGGACGCATGCAGTTCACACCTGTGTTGTTCAAGGGCCAACTGTATAAAGTATTTTTTTTTTTTTTGAGACGGGGTCTTTCGCTCTGTCACCCAGGTAGGAGTACAGTGGCATGATCTCAGTTCACTGCAACTTCCTGCTCTCAGGTTCAAGCCGTTCTCCTGTCTCAGCCTCCTGAGTAGATGGGATTACAGGTACCTGCCACCATGCCCAACTAATGTTTGTATGTTTAGTAGAGATGGGGTTTTGTCGTGTTGGCCAGGCTGGTCTCAGACTTCTCATCTCAGGTGATCCCTCTGCCTCGGCCTCCCAAAGTGCTGGGATTATAGGTGTCAGCCACCTTGCCTGGCCTGTACAAAGAAAATTATATCA